GTACTGCTGCTAATGGTGAGTAACAACCACAACTGAAACAGGGTAATTGAATTCAGATGAAAAGTTAAAAGGCAAAGCTGTTTTTTTTTTTTTAATCCTCATCAGGACTTCCACTGTCACCTGACCACAAGTGAGGTGGTGGGATACCTCGGAGGACGATGGGATACTAATACACAATGTGAGTGTCCAGAAATAAAAAAAAAATGCAAGAAATATACTTAGTAAGGTAAAAAATGCCGTGTTTAACCTCAGCACCTTCCTCTCTGTGATCGATGTGTTTCAGTGCTGACAGTCTTAAGGGCTTTCCCCTGTCGGACCAGGTTGGCAGACAGAGACTCTGCTTCTGCTGTTGAGGAGGAGGTAACACATGGACAGTGAATCAGTAGTCTGCACTAACTGCATGTATGCCTTCAGAAAAGACGAAGGTGAATGACACCCGTTTTAAAAATTCACAAGTTCTTTCCGTGCCCCAGGACAGTTCTGCAGCCAGCACTTGTCAGCATGCATCTCTGTTTCCAAAAGCCAGAAACCAAAGAACCGAGTCTTGAATTTCCATCACTGAGATGTTAACGCTGACTGCTGTGCGAGAAAATGTGTTAACCCCAAATAGTTTTGCATTGTGGTGCTTAAATTAAGTTTAAATACTACATCATTTATAACTTCTCATACCAATCTTAGAGTATAAACTTCAGCAAAATCAAAAAATCTAGTTTTTTTTTTTAATTTCCAGTTTCACCAGAGTGTTTTAAGATTACAAGAACTAACAGAACTGTCCTGGGATCAACCTTAAAGGACCAGTGTGTAAGATTTAGTGGTGTCTAGCGGTGAAGTTGCAGATTGCAACCGTTGGAATACAACTCAGCAGATTGCAACCGTTGGAATACAACTCAGCCTTCCAAGTGTGTAAAAGAAACTACAGTGGCCCTATATAAAGCCAGTGTTTGGTTTGTCTGTTCAGGGCTACTGTAGAAACATGGATGCTCAACATAATGGCCTGCATAGAACAGGACCTGCTCCCTCTGTAGATAAAAACTCATTCTAAGGTAACAAAAATAACTTTTTAATTACAGGTCATTATGCATATTCCATTCCTGCCAGTAGATCCTCCTCAATGTTACACACTTGCCCTTTTTTTCCAACTCTTAAAACAGTGTCCTTCCCTTTAGGTTCTGTGTACTAATATTAGCACATTTATAGCAACAATTTAGGCACTAAATGTGGACCAGTTAACAGAATAGGAGATGCAAAAATGTGAAACTTTGCAGTTAGGACCCGCAGTTAAAAGGATTTTACATTTTCTTTCAAAATCAGTAAAATGTTTCTCCAATAATTAGAATTATCCTTCCAGTTAGTGCTGAGCTTCTTCTGTGAAGTGTCCATAATAATTATGGTGGCAGTACAAATTTATTTACCTCCACTAAAGTGGAACAACATTAAAACAAAGTTTTTTTCTAATCAGCATCTGTCATGTTGACTCTGCTCCAGATCTGTCAGAACCTGTTCATGCGCGGGCTGTCATTGGTGGGCTGGTACCACAGTCACCCGCGAGGTCCGGCTCTGCCGTCGCTGCAGGACATTGACTCCCAGATGGACCATCAGCTGAGGCTGCAGGGTTCAAACAACGGCTTCCAGCCCTGTCTGGGCATCATCTGTGGTAAGTGCCTGCCTTTATATACAGTGTTGGACTTTGAATACCTCTTCCACGGGACACTTTATTGATCCCATTCCAGGACATTATTCAATATTAATAAAATAATACAAAATACATTACAGAGCTGGAGATATAGAGGATATATCTATAATATGAGTATAGTAATTTATTTAGCAGCTTATGCATTTGGTAACAGAATACAAATATTGCTTGAATGAGGGTTAATATGTGGTTAGGGTGAATAGCAGCAGTTCACTGATATAATGGAAACTTTAATAAATGTTTAACAGCTGGATACCCTGAAGATACCCTCTCCAGTTGTTGTGGACCGCTCTAAAGAGCATGGACAAAAGACCTGAAGTATATTTTAGTATATTATCAGTTTACAGTTGTGTACACTGTGTTGTAGCACTTCACAGCTGGAAACATGGGTAATGTCAGGAGGATTCATTTTCTTTTTCTTTTCTTTCTTTTTTTGTCACTGATATTGTAGTGTTGTTTTGCAAGAAATAGATTAAAAAAGACACAGTAAGAAGAGTCTTTTAATGCAAAAGTCATTTTCTCTTGCAGGTCCGTATTACCATGGCAATCAAGGTGTTGCTTCCACAATAACTCCATTCTGGGTCGTACCGCCGCCTGAGGTGAGGACACTTGCCTAACTAACAGAATTAAAACTACTCACCTTCATGTTTTGTAGTTATGTGTTACTTGGTTCAGTCTTTTCAGATAATGTTATTTAGACACAACTCAACTCATGCATCATCTGCCTTCCTGCAGCAACGGCCTAACGACTACGGCATCCCAGTTGCCGTAGAGGTCACCTACGTACAGGACAACTTCCTCACCAGTGATGTTCTTAATGAGATGGTACTGATACTGCAGGCTCAGTCCTATTCAAATACTGCAGAGGAGTTTGCGTTGTAAATACTGTAAATTGTTCTAAAGAAAGTCTGTTTATCTCCTCCACAGATGCTCCTGGTTGACTACTACAGGGCAGCTCCCGACCTCGTCCAGTTCAGCCAGTACTGGTGTCCTGATACGACCATGATGGACAAGATCAAGGTGGGATGAAGCCTTAAAACTTTATTAGGTGATGATCCTGGCATTCTCACTCTTTCAGGACCGAGCTGACCTAACTTTCTGTCTTCTTCCTCAGGGCTCTCTGAGTTGCCATGCTCCCAAAGACCAGGCCTACTCTCAGATCTTAGAGCACGTCTACAGTCAGCTGAGCAACATGAACTGAGGGGATCTGCTGTGCATGCGTGCATGTGGCCGCTCTCCGTCTGAAGTCTTTCCAATTGTTTTGTGCAGAGCTGACGGGACTGGAGTGACAGATGTACAATGTAAAAACCTGCTTGAAAAACATATAGATGCCTTGAATTCTCTCATGCTAGAGTGATATTTAATTATGAAACAGCATTATTGTGAGTTAAAAAAAAAAAGATTTTAAAAGTGCTAAATCTGTGATACTAGTAGCCCCGGGTGCTTCTATTTACCAATGATGAAAATGTACAGCTGATACACAAAACCAGACAGCGTTGGATCAGGGAACATGAGACGAGTGTTAAAAAACGAATATTTTACAGACACTAAATAGAAGCATTTCACGGACCAGAAATCAGCCTGCCCGACTGGCCTCTTACCTTTTACACATGGACCTATGTGCCTATCTGTGCCAGTGTCCCGCCGTATGAGCAGACATTGCCAGATATGTACAATGTAAACTTATAATGTGTTGTAATTGCCTTTATAGACTAAACCAATGGAGCAGTGGTTTGGGGGTCGGGGGGGAGTGAAAATGAGTAGATACATTAGCAAAGTATGCAAATTCTCTGCAATAGGTTTTGTGAGTGTTTGTGTTCCTCAAGTGAAACTGTATGGTTGCAATGTGGTGCAAGTAATTTCCATTGTGCCAAGCAAAGTTTTTTTTTTATGAACCTGTGTGTGTGTGTGTGTGTGTGTGTGTGTGTGTGTTGTGAATGTGCCCCTCTACTGTCTCCCTGTCGGGTTATATGAGACAGGAGTCCTGTTGGTTAGGACAGATATTTGCTTCCTCTTTACCTGTACTGTATTTATTACTAACTGTGGATTGTGTGATGTATATGTATGAAGACAGAGCAATGCCTTAAGCCTGCTGATGATCCACAAAGCATTAAAATATACACACTGGAACTATTTAAACATGACTGTTTGTTGTTTGTGTGTAAGAGTCTGGTCAAACTAGCAGCTCTGTGATGGTATTCAGGAGCAATGGTCCTTTAAGCTAAATGCTTACATGCTCATAATGACAATGGTAACATGTTAGGTTGGTATACTGTTTTCTAGCCTGTGAGCATGTTAACATTTACTAACCAGCACTAAAATACAACTGAGGCTGTTGGGAATGTACTTTATTTTTACGGTATTTGGTCACAATTGGTAAAAGTTGCTAAAACAAAAGTCAGAAGGTCCACAGTCATTAGGATTCATCCTCTGGGGCGCGTGAAGGTTTGTACAAAATGTTATGTCAGTTAATAGTTCCCAACAAGCTGACCGACAGCAAAGCTCTACTCACATTTATTTTCAGGGGCTCTAGTGCCATCAAACTAAAAAAGTTTATTACATTAATAGAGTTTTTTGAAACAATGAAAGCATACAGTATGCATAAGACACAACTAGGAGATTACTGAAGAGTTTTGAAACATAAGATGTTCTTAGGACCTAACCAAGGACAGAGACGCCTCATCAAACAGCACAGTCCTTTAATGTGAATCCCTTCAAACCTCTTAGTGGACCTATTTCTGTGCCTGTGTTAAACTTTTTCAAGTTACTTGTAGTGACCTTGAAATAGTTTAATATTATTTTTAATATTATTTCAATTATTATTTTAAAAAAAGGAAATTAAGCAATGCAATTAAAAAAGGAATACATTCAGAACAGGATATCATTTATATATATACATTTCTTTAGAATATATATAAGTAACAGCAATGTTTTCATCAGTAAAGTCACTCAATATTACCCTGTAAACAAATATAAATTCTAAATAAAAAAAACACTTAAACTGACCCTGGGTTTTTAATAGTTTTGGACCAGTTCCAGTTAGGAACCGGGTCCTCGGGAACATACCCAGTTTGAAGTCAGAATCACTCGCTCCGGAGGGTTCAAATAATTTTCCAGATTCATACAATCTAATTTTCACTTGCATATTGCCATCCCTAGAGCCAGGCTGCTTAATACTGAGCTCTCTTATAGACAGCGTCTGGTTACGAGTATTTTGTGCACAAAGATTTCAGATGTCAGTTCAAATGTCTTAAATACAATTTTAACACCAGCCATTATTTAATGTCAGAAGATCACACCCAACACAAACGCTTTTTTTCTTTATTTATTGTAAGAAGGGGGAGGTGGGGGACAAGACAGAAGCACGTACAAATATTTTGATAATAAAAGACAAAATATTGCGGTTAAATTCTGTACTCATACCAAAAGTAAAAAGGCAACTTAAATCTAAGACATACACATTTACAAGGTGTAATATAGGACTACATGCAAAGATTAATTTAAATGTTTAAAGGCCTTGAATATAAAAAATAATACTATAGAGAGCCAGAATGATTTAATGTTGTTCGAAAGAGCATTTAAGACTGATTAAACAAATACATAGCCCTTAGAAATCAGTGGGACATTTTTTTTTCCAGACATTGATTAAAATCTACATAAAAAACAGTTTCCACTGGCAGTCTGCTGATAAACCTCACATTAGTCTAAACAACACACATCCAGGAAACTGCCTGTAGTGTCAGAAATGTGCACACACGTGCACACATGCATTAAATCTTTACACAGGAAAGTGCCAATGGCTAGAAATAAAACCAAAAGTAGAAAAGAAATTCTTGACCATTTTCTTAAGTAGCTAGGTTAGGTTTTGGTTGCTGTATTAGTTGCGGTACTTTCCCCCTTTCTTTTTCAAAGGCACTAAAACAAAGCTATCAAGGACTTTTTTTTTTTTTATAACAGTGGGATCCAGACAGCACCTCCTACAGTCCTTAAACTTTGCCCTGAACTTGATACAAGCATTGAAATGTAGTAAGATCAGAAATGTAAACATATTAGACAAGGACAAAACTCAGGAGAGGGGGAAGTGTTTGGCAGCGTGGAGTGATGGACAAACACAGATATAAAGAGGGGAAATGTAGCAGAAAGATACTGCAAACAATGAAAGAGCACACATTTGTCATTCACAATTAAAACTTGTCCCCCTGCCAAACAATTCAAAATCAGCAGGACTGACGGTAACTGTTTGGTAAGGATTCGTGTTTGGTAACAAACGTTCTCCAAATGAATCAAAATGGACAACAGCTTACACTTATTTTTCCCTTGATGTTTTCCCTTTCACTCCAGGACTTTCCCTCATACTGTACAGTGTATGTTGGATAAGACTCCATCTGCAGGTGTGGACTGTGGCTAAATCCTCAACAAGAAACCAGCCTTGTCTAAATAGATAAAAAGGAGCAACACCTGTCTACATCAGCCCAAATGTACTAACAAATAAATTGAATCAGAGCTGCTGTAAATCATCAGAATCACAGGGTCAGAATCAGTTTCAAAGCACAGACGAGTTTCACATTCTCAAAGACACGAGGGCAGACAGAAATAGCGGGACAATTATTGATGAAAATGAAAGACTGAGTCGCTGCCCGCAGCGTCATCTATTCAGGTACTGTATGGAGTTAACAGCCGCCTAAAACGGGGTCAAGGACCGAATAAAGGAAAAGGCTTAACACGTTAAGACAAACAGGCCCAAAACTAAATGAATATATGGCTATGTTACAGAACAGTTAGCAGTTTAACAAGCGAGCGATATGTTTCTATTGCATTTCATCAACTTTTTGGCTCTGTCTCCTCTATTGAACAGACTAGCAGACACCACTACACAACTAATCATTCTGCATCTCTACACAACAAACACACACCTGCATTAAGTGACAAAAAGGTGCAACGTCTGCATTTAACTTTGGGGTCTGTGTGTAATGGTGGAGTAAGTCACACACACATCAATCTCATTTGAGGACCAAGGTGCAATTACAACATTTTCTCACATATTCAATAAGTAGTTCTACTCTAAACTATTCTAATAGGTTGAGACTAACATAGATCGAATACTGAAACAATATTAAAAGGAAACCACTGTATCAGGCCTGTTGTCTTTTGAAGCTAGCATCAGTGCACAGCTTACACTTAGATCTTTAAAAAGAGCATTACAAATAGGCCAAAACCTCAAAACGGTCTAAAACACAGATCTGAGGCTAATTTTGGCTCATTATTCTCATTAAAAATATGAATGAAGTACTTTGTCATTTTAGATAGACTAAACTACATTTAGTTGAGTGTAGTTCCATTTTAGTTTAGGTATAAGTAATTCTCAGTCCTGCCAGCAGGTGGCAGAGATGAGCTCCAGTCCTTAAAAGGGGGCACAAACAAGGTTTTGGGTTTTGAAATGAGGATAATAATCAGTCAAGTTACACATTTACTGTGAGGTTTGAGTTGGCCTCTCCAGTCTGAAAACTGACTGTTAAGTTGGTGACCAACCTGAGTTTTAAACAAACTGCAGTCACACAAAAAAGGATGACATGAATGTGCCACACCAGTCATCATAATCACCAGACAATCACCAATTGGCTTTTACTATATCAGGAATTTCTAGTTAAAGAAAAATATTGCTTATAAATGTGTCATTAGTTAGTCCTCAAGAAATGTTTCTGACTGCCAGATAACGAGTAATGACGTTTTGTGTCCATCTTAGATCCTTCTACCTTTGGGTGGAACAGGTTGATATTCTGGTCTGGACTTTGAACTCTGACCGTCTTCTCCAGAACTCCAGTTGACAAAAAGTGCTCGTCTGTGATGATGGCGCTGGAGCTGAAGGTGAAAATGAATATTCTGCGGACCATCCCTTGGCTTCACTTTCCTCCCTCTCTACTAATTCTACTCTCCCTCTCCTCCTCCTCTCCATCAGTCTCCTCCATGGCTCTCTTGCTCTCTTTATATTAGTGTGGCAACGGAATGAGCACCTCGACATAGTTGAGGGGGAAGAATCCCGACTGGCCGTTCAGCATGCCCTCGTACCAGTTCTCGTCGATCTGATTGGTCAGGGTGATGATATCGCCCTCGCGGAAGCCCAGCTCTCCCTCGTTCTCTGGCTCAAAGTCGTACAGCGCCTTACAGCTCGGCTGCTCCGGGGCTGACAAAACACAAGGAGAGGAAGAATGAGGAAGGCCTCCAGACACAGTAGGGGGCAGTGCTAGTTTCAGGAAAAGGTTGTCACGCTGCACACATTAAACATGTAATCTACTGTATATACTGTAGATCATACTTATGCTTATATATGTGTGTTAGTATAACATTAGCACGTAGTACAGGCAGGTCAGCGTCCACACAGCAGGCAAACAAACTCAAGACTGCTGGCAAGTTACATTTTTGACCACAAACCACAACATCCTATGACACCAGATTTCTATATCCGTTCTCCTCCCTCCATCTATCCCTTTCTCTGTGACCTCACATAGATCAGCAGAGGAGAGTGGAGCTCCACACACAGACAAACTAGGCTTTTTTGTCTCCTAACAATTTTCTCATTGTATCAAGTTTACCCCACAGACTGCAGGGCAGGCTCGAGATGGGGAAAGCTTTAGTCACTCACTCTCTGTGTTTTGCAAGATACTGTATTATTATACAGGGGAAGAAACATCATGTAAACACTTAATTCAATAGAATCAAGCTACTTAATGACAATGACAAATATTTCTCTAAAGGTAGGAGAATAAATGCCATTTGGTGGCAAATAAATCTGATGTGCAGTTTGATAAACTGACAAATAGTAAAATACAGCTAATTAGCTTTTAAGTTAATATGATCCACTTTTCCATCAATATGTGTTTCTTTGAAGATATATTGATATTTTGTTCTATTCATCTGTGTTTTGACCTTGCCATCTACTCTAAACTCCTATACTATAAATTATTAACTGATTTATTGGCCACTTGAGGGCAGCACAACATTTACTGTCATATCAATGTTGAACTCGTAGCAAACAGTTACTTACAGCTGTTATGGAACATTATCATGTTGTGAGTCATTTAAGTCCAATATGCACTCTCTTTTAGCTCTGTTTATTGTTCCCCACCCAACTCCTGAGGGAAATACCCATCTTTTTAGCAGGTAAATATTCTACCAGCTAGGCTTTAACTGTCTCTACTGTTTGGTGTTGAGCAGTTAGTGTACAGTGTGTTTTTAAAGAGTTTTGTCAGAGTGGTGAGACTGAACCAAAACAGTGAAGTTGCAGTCAAACAGCTAAACAATGAGCTGAAACTCACTATAAGGCTCTGTAAAGCCAAGGACAGCGGCAGATTTAGCCGAAAATGTTCTGGTTCTACAAGCGAACCCGTTCCATACTGTCATCTGATACATTGTTATATATAAACATAATTTCAGCTTAAAGTAAATAGGAAATTAATTGTAAATAGAGAAAAGCTGTTGCTCCTTAGTTCATTTAAAGCAAGTTGTTTACACATTGACACACAAACTCAAACAATATGGTGTTGGGTGATACAAACTAAAATGTGCCCCATACTGTCTGTATTCAGAACTTACCAAGCAGCTCTCTGTTGTGCAAAAAAAGATAAATATTGCCTGATTCAACAGCTTACAGGTGACCTTATTAATCCTAATGACACTGATAATAATTCTGATACTTACTAAAATATCACTACAAATAATAATCAATAACTTATTATAACTCTGGCAACAGTTTGTTGTTTGTTTTCTTCATGTTAATTAATACTCCTGCCATGAACCAAAGCACTGGTTTCATAACTTTCCAACAGTAGTAGAAAGACCTTGGCTGTCCTTTTAGATAACAGCATTTATAACAGCATCAGTTGTAGAATGAGCCAGTGATGGCAGATTGCAGATGTTAGCAATTTTTAGTAAGGTTCCAGTATCTAGAGAACAGGATGTGGATTTCATACAAAACCATAGTCACACTGTTAAACTATACATGCACCATACACCACTGGATGTGCTGAACCTGTAAGAAACAACCTAAAGTGCTTCCTATATTTCACACAAGTCGATGTGCAAGCACACTCACTGCGTTGTTTCAACACCAAAAACGGCCCACACTATCTACAACTCACGCAATCTGGGTTTCCGAAAGGACAATCTGGCCGAGTGAAAAGACGGCTCTGATGATGTCATAAGGAAGAGGAACAAGGTCAGCTGGAGAAAGGCCAGTGAGATGACAGGACACACACACACACACACACACACACACACACACACACACACACACACACACACACACACACACACACACCCTCCCCACACGCAGAAACAGACGTCCATTTTCTCATGGTCAACAACTGAGAGCATTCGAGAGTCAAACATCCAGTGCATGCCACCATTTACAATGCTTCAATCACACTACAGAGAAAAAGACTGTTTCACATATTTCTGCTCAGTGGTACTAATTGGTAGCAGGTCTTGAGCAATCATGCTGGCAATCACACGCTACTCTGGCTTAGTCCATCTTCTGTGCGTGTAGAAACAGCTGGATGTTTTGTTGTTGGAACTCAGCTCTTCTCTACATAGCTTACACTGCCCTCAATGTGGCATCCAATGTGATGTAATTGCAAGGATGAATACAAAATAATTCAAGGCAGTTTTTTTGGTTCTTTGTTTTGTCAAGACATCATCTGTTTTCTGGTGCCAACAGTACAGTCAGCCACTTCATCATTTTGACATGATGGTTAGTTCAAATTTATTTTAACCAAGTGTTCGTGATAAAATTACAACATGTTGTTCTTCACTAACGTATATTAAAAACGTACCTGAGTTGCGTGAAGGTGGCAGCGCCATTGAGGTTGAGTAGCCGCCATTTGAATGGTTATCATCCCCGAAGTCAAAGATTGGCTTGGGTTTAGGTGTGTATTCACGTCTTGGTCGAGTCTGAGCCTCATTCATCCTATTAAAAAAGATTAACTGATTTAAGTGCTACATTTCTAAACCTCCACAGTAAATACAAAATGATTAGTTATTGTGGCTGAAACAGAACCAGACCTGAAAGGCTCAAAGGAGAAAGCTGCACAGCCAGATATACTATATAGTATGTTGGTATTTGTGTGCATCAGGTTTCATTACTGCACCTGTCTCTGAGTTTGTCAGAAAGCTCCTCCAGCACCTGCACAGCCTGTCTGTGGTACTGCAGCTGGGACTCCACCAGAGATGACAGCTGGCTCACCTGCTCTATCTACACACAAACACATGTAAGAATGCATTTAATACACAAGATAATCAATGCCACCTGGCTAAGTAATAAAACACAAAGCATTGCATTCCATATAACAAAACTATGACTTCCCGCACCAAGGTTTGCACCTGCAAAGTGATGTGTTCCACAGGGACCAGTATGCAGCCCACTCTTGTGTCAACTTATTGCCATTTGGTCACATTCTCAAAAAATGTGACCTCAGCTGGTTAAATTAGAGGTTTTTTTAGAGAGATTTTCTGGAGTATTCAACCTTATCTCAAGCTCGTAAGCAGACCTTGAGTTAAGATAATTAGTGACAGCCTCAAATTTATGATACATAGTTCTTAAGTAGTCAGAGGAAACGACATAAAAGAGGCTGACACAATAGAAATAACAGGAAATATGGAACAATCAGACTTCCCCCCAGTAGCACTGGTCATATTCACACTGTCAACCAGTCCTAAATTATTAACACTAACTCCTTAACTTCTGTGCTGTCAGATCAATTTAGACCTACAGTACATACACTCAGATATATGCTCCAAGCCGTTGTGTTCTCCTCACCTACAAGTGTGCACATCCACAGTTATGTCCAGGGCAAACAAATGCTCCAACTCAAATGATGATTAAATGTCATAACTGCAGTTATTTAAAGACATGTTTATCTCCAGTGTGAGCGTTATTGTGCTGAAAGGGCGTGTTCCATTAATCTTTACAGGTGTAACTATTGGTGTGTGTTTGTCCTGCGGGTGTGTGTTTGACAGCCGCTTTCCAATGCAAATGTGAAGCTTAGTCAAATTCGACAATGAAGCAACTGATGAAATGTTACAGTGGTGGTAATATTTATCACAAGAAGGCCCAGGCTGAAAATTGAAAGTTATTTTTGGAAATGTTTTTGATTAATAGACACATACTAGGACTTTTTAAATTTGATTGCAAGGACCTCAGAATCAGTATTTTTTAGTCTGTATATTTGAACCAACATTTTTGTACAGCCTTTTTCACTGTATTCATAGTAGATAAAAGTAAGACTTTCACCCATCAGGAAGCTGCTGTTTATGGCTGAGGAAAGAGACAACAGCATGAAGCCTGATTTTAAAGATCAACTGCACAGGGGCAGCATCAGGCTTAAAATTAAGCATCAGATGACAGACACTAACACCACACACTGAACAGTAAAGAATAAGTCCTCACATCAGTCTCCAGCAGGTTGTACATGCTAGTCTCGGCCACTTCCTTTGACTCATGAAACTTCTCCAGGGCCTGTCGAACCTCCTCATCTGGGATCTTGCCCTGACGCTTTTTCTTGTAATCGTAGTCCAGGCGACGGCCTTCCAGCTTCTTCAGGTGGTGCTGAGGTGGTCGGAGACATAGTTAGTTTAGGAGTGGGCACAGAAGTGATCACTATCTTGCATTGACAATTCATGTGAGTGTACCTGTATCTCTCTGAGGTCCTTGTCACAAAGCCCTTGCAATGGATCAATGAAGTTCTGTTTGACATCGATATCTAGAGAGTCTTTGACTTCTGCCAATCTCTTCATGGCCTCTCCAACATCTACTAGTGCTCCGCCTGAACCACAAAGATAAAGATTAATAGCTCAGTGAAATTAGATTTATAGTTTGTACCACATTATTAGTTATATCACAGTTATGTCACCATCAGACCAAACACAAAGAAACATAGTATTCTCACAGAACCACACACAGACACAAATACCAAAATTCAGTACTTAAAATAGTCAAAAAGCGTTTCATAAGCTCTGTAAACAGTTTGGGTGCAATCTATCAGTCGCTAATTAAGTATACCACACACACATACACACTATGCACACCCAAAAACCCAAAATAACAAACTCCAACCAAACCCTCTTACAGTGATTTACTATCCTAAACCACAATGCACACACAAACACACATATCTTACCAAAGTTAGTGTCCTCTCCAAGTTCCCGTCCAAACTTGCCCATACACTCTCCTAGCAGCCCCTCGGCCTGAGGGTAGCCTGGATTTTTCACCTGACCACGGATCTTAGACATGGTGTTCAACATGGACAGTTTGGCCCGTGACGCTGTGGAGGGGAGTTGAAATGAATTTAATCAAAAGGTTCAAACTTTAAATAAATGCATGAAAACAGGTTTTGTTCTCACCTGGGTTGGGCTGAAGGTACTCTGATGTTTTGGAGATAACCTCCACTACCGCTTTACTGGTCACATCTACTTTCTAGAAAACACAGCAAGCACAGATACATCACAATTGCCCAGCAGAGCTACTGTAATCACACCGACTAAAATAAAACAGTGACAGGCAAATGAGGAAAGTGGTTAAGCCCTTTGTAACCACTGCTAGCTCATAGGCCTCTAAGCAGAGTCAAAGTACTTTTTAAAATACAGTAGGTTATTTTCCATTCCCATCATGTTTACTTTGTATTTTATAGTGACATATACCTCAACATGCTGGTGTGACTGAAAGCTGAAAGCACTGAAGTTATTTCTTTTGTGGACTTGTTTATGTTGTTGATGAAGAACAAAAGCAAAAATGTAAACTAGGGCTAATCAATGAATCTGCTGATTATCTTCTGCATTACTTAAATGAATGATTGATTCTATAACAACTAGAAAATAATGAAAAATGATCAGCAGTTTTTCCTAGAGCCCAATATGATGTCTACAAATAGTTTGTTTGCCCAACAGTCCAAACAATTACAAAGACCAGCAAATATTCACTGTTCAGAGGCTGGAAAGCTGACATTTTTGCTTAAAAAAAATTACAAACAACTGTCAAGGGTTGACAATCAAAATGTTGACAGATTTTCTGTCGTTCAACTAAACAGTTAATCAACTTATCGTTTTGAATCTTAATGGGGAACTTGGCAACTCTAGCCATTTCTTCGCTGGTTTTCACTTTTGTCGTTGCATGTTTTCTCAACGATCTCCCCGTACAGCTCTGGGACGTATATTTCAAAACACTGTCGTAAAAAAACTCACTTGCGGCAGCCTCCTCCCCCTTACTACCGCTGCTGATGTGCATTTGTTGCCGGGCAACTTTTTCGTGTGGAGCAATGTCTACCGAGGTGGGTAATACATTCATCGTCGCTTGTTCTTATAGCCGGCGTAGCTAACCGGTATTGAGGGGGGCGTGTGCGTTTATGTGGAATTGCCGTAAAGCAGTTTGTGTTTCTCGCTCGTTCTTGCTTCTCGCGATACTTCCTATTTTCAATTTAACGGGACGATAGCCCCAAAGTTGCAAGGTTGGTTTTCTGCCTGGGGACGCTAGGGGGAGCGGGGACAGTCACCATTTTCACCGGAACAGGCCATTTAACCATCCAAATGATTTCTAAACGGGTTTATTAAGTTGAAATAGTTGCCAAGTTCCCCTTTAATGTACACCTAATGGCAATGAGGTTTTTATGTCAGATTTGGCCAAAGTGTTTGTGTTTATCTTTTAAGACCACAGAAAGATGCTTCTCTCACCCGTTCCAAGTCTCTGAAGTCATCATCTAGTTTAGTTCCTTCAGCACCTCCGACTTTCTCACTTACCATCTAGAGGGAGAGAGAGAGAGAGCGAGAGGGCACGAGAGAGAGAGAGAGAGAGAGAGAGAGACACACACACACACACACAGGGAGACAGAAAGAAAGGGAGACCGAGGAAAAAGGGGGAGGAAAGGCAAAGAGCGTGCCAATTAATTAATGCTCCTCATAAGGTTTTGATTCAAGTGCGGAACAGGCCTGAGCTCATCTCTAATTTACACATTCACATGCCTCCTCTGTGGAGAATATGTGATGATGAACATTTCTTGCCCTGTGTTCTACAAATAACATATAAATGTATACTAACAGATAATATTGTAGAAATCACACAAAGAACAACAGAACAAACAGTGTTATGCAATCCCTTTTCTTTACACTTTCCAGGATGAAAAAATGTTGGAACAGCTAACTCCATTACTTCTATTTCAAAAATGACAATATGCTACAATTTAAGTCAACTAAAACATGTTGATTGAAAGCATATGTATTTCCAAGTGAGATCTCTGAGCATGTATTTAAGCCACAGACAAAAGCCTAAGAAATGGAAAACATTCCCTTTCCTGTGCATGTACAGTACAAGTATTTTACTTAACATCCTTCTTGGCTGATTCCTTAAATTGGGAGCAGGGTTTGTGCTTTTTCAGAGACACAAGTCAGTCACAGAGAACTGGAAAATAAATATAATCCGGCTTTGTAATGAGTCTGTACTGCTGTGACTTCAAGATAGTTAAAAACTTGACTGCTGTGTCCATGAGCTACATGGTTCCATTTCTGAGTTTCTCAAAGTGGAATGGGCAGAAAAACAACTCCAATCACCACCAGTCAGATAATGAAAATGGCACACAACAACAGTCCTTGGTTGCAGAGTAAATTGTAGACCTATTATCCTGCAAAGACAAAAGGGAACCACAATAACTACTTTGTGTTTTTGCTTTGATTTCAGTAACAGTACAGTACATTTGTAACAGCCCTTTTGTTAATCTTTAATTCTTTTCCCCACCAGTATTAACAGAGAGTGCATTTCAAAGTGACTGGATAGTTAATGAAACACCGCAAGAGAGGCCAGGAGAAAGGGATAAATAATTTAGAATTGCTTCTATAAGATTCAAATGTTATTCTCTATACCACTATAGTAGATGTTATTAGTGTTCTAAAATATATGTTAACAATATGAGTGATGTTCAGTCAACTGTATATTTGTAGCATTGGTCTGTACTATATAGAGTAGGCACGTATAATTTAGCACAAGGCTCCTGACACCCTCACAGATTGGCCACGATCGTTTAGGTGGTTTACCACTCTGAACTGGTTTATGAGACACACACAACTGTTCTTATAAGAGCTTCAAGATCCCCTCCACTTAAAAATGTCTGACTTGTATCTGTGCAGTTTTTCACTAGTGATGTGTTTTCATATGTCTTTACTGTAGGGGGAGATGTCTGTACACTTTCCTAAAATCTGAGATTCAAATGTCCATCTAGATTTAGCTAACAAATTTAAAGGCTAATCGCTGTCAAGCAAATGCCACCAACAAAGAAATCTGAAACCTCCAGCGCAGAGCAGTTTGTAAGTTTGCATAGTTAGCATAGTGAAATATAGTGAATATTGAAGACTGTGCCGTTTTTGGATGTAAACTGGACCCTTCTACTATGCAGTAACAACGTGAAAATGTGAACACACTGTAACATCGTAGTAAATATTATTTTATGTTTCACAACCACTAATGCTGTCTCAGCAACTGCAAGTTACAAAATAACAACCAACATAACAAATAAAAGATGCTAAGATATTTTTAGTGCCAGTGCACCGGTACCGTTTATACAGAAGATATTTAAAAAACAGAAGGACAAAATAATGGTTGATGACATTAAAGAACGTTCTCACACGGCTATTTCATTAGACAGCTCAGACACTAAAAAGATCTCCACTGTGATTCGGTCAGTTAGATACCAGTTGTATGACCGGTGCCATATGGTCACTGTGTTTTGACATTACTGCTAGTTGCTGATTTTGGTGCACAAACGTCTTCAGAGCGTCCTTAAAAAGGATACAAAACGGCATGTTTCTCCGCTTAAAATCTCCTCTAACCTGCATCTGACAGACTTGACTTCTGGTCTGGTACCACATTGTTGATCTAGTGTGACATTCTATCCGCAGTCTGCATGCGGTTTTTTATTTTTTTAAATTGACCTGATTGTCTATACCGTTTCTGTCAGACTTCCTGCCAGTGCAATCTACTCTGTGCTGCTTGACGCGAGTGGGTTGTGGTTTTCGCTAAAATTAAACCAATATTCTATGCGGAGCAGAGCTGCTTGGACCCGCTCCGGGGGAAATTTTGGGGTCTGCGTCTGGCTCAAAGACTATGGCTGAATCTCTTGTTTCCTCTAATGCTAGCCACCTTGATGGGCACTGCTCTTTCACCGGTCAATCTAGTGCAAGCAGCGGTGGTGGGCGGCGCATTCATAGATCAAGAATATGTCGATGAGGGAGAAAATCTTCCAGACAATTTATTATTTATTTTTTTTTACTTTTCATGTGGGATAACCATGTTGAAATATAAATTATAGCAGAATATTTTCATATATTTAAAAAAGGTGTCTGCAAGGGAACTTGCAACTGCCATTTCCCTTTCAGTCAAATTTCTCACAAAACTCATCTGTGTTAGAGCGACAGCAGTTTGAGTCATTTCCTACAAGACTGGTTACTAGAATTACTAAGAATGACCGAACTGCTTCTCCAAAGAACATAAATGTGTGGGAAAGCAGTAGTTTGATATGTTGTCACAAAGTTTAACATCATAGCTTCAAGTCTGTACGTTTAATAAATAAGAGCTTGTTTGTCCATTTCTTGTTCTAACAGACAAACATGAAAATACATAATGGTTACTCTTCCCTTTCAACAGCAGCTGACACCCTTTTGCTGAACAGTCTGGGACCCACAATACTGTATCTATACTGCAGAATCTCTGCTGTATGCAGAAAGCACATGACAGGGGGCCTTGGGAGATTCGGGTCACAAGTAAAGATACAGCCTAAACTCTAAGCCCACTCAGCATTTCACTCCCTACCTCAGGGGAAAGATTGCAGTCTGTAGTACTAAACCTTTGCTATCTTATATTTTGTGGCACCCTAGTCTGCCTTACGAGACTTTTTAGAGGGGAAGAAGAATTTTATTCATAGTGCAGTATGTCACTATTTTTGTAGTTACTAAACTTAGTCTTTCCTGATTTTGGATAGTAGAAAAGTGCATCTTGGGAGTAATTTGTAAGCCACTAAGCACGGTTGTATTTTCTTTCTCCTGCTAATGAAAACATCAGGTTCTTGTGTCAGAGTAACATTACTATTTACATGCACACAGGCTCAATGCAATGAAGGCCAAAAACATCCACAAAAGGTTATGATCTGGGAGTTTTGGTATAAACACACAGAGCTACACAGAGGGATCAGTCTATAACAGGTATCCTTTTCATCATAATGACTAGGTATTTAAGCTACTGGTAGTTACTTCAGTGCTACTGCATTATCACAAAACCTATTTCAAGATCTTGTTGGGCTAAGGATGACCTGAATATTGCAAGGCCCGAAAAGTTGCCTTATTCAGAGGCCAAGTTGCTAAACGAGTAGCAGCTTAATGTAGATTTGTATTGTTTCCTAACGTAGCTTGTCAAAAATCTGCTGATGAAACAACAGTTAGTGCAGAAAACAACATTACTTTCAGTGGGTTAGTTCTCTTTCACATCAAACTTATCTTTTTTTGCTGTAGCCTGATGATGACATGCTACTGTTAAAGCAAACTGATGTAATAAAACATTTTCAGTGTAGAATTAAAAGGATAAAAGAAATTTGTTTTACAGATACAACATTGTGTCCTGAAAACTAGATCTGCGTGGTTAAAGATCTAAAATATAGATATGAAAAGACAGGCGTGTCACCTAGAGGAAATTATATGTTATATGTTGTATGTATAAGAAGTATTCTCAATACATCAATTAAGAGTGTTAAATCAGGAAAACAATTTGATTCATTTGATAAAATCTCTTCCTTCATTCTTCCTTCACTAAGATATGCCTCAAGTTGGTACTTATGCTTTTGCAATTTTCCCACCTCCCTAGATTTAAAATTCAAACTGCAACCCACTCCTCGTTACTTCCAGTAAATCAGAAAGTCAATCTCTGCAATCTTTCACAAGGATTGCCAGCACCTGTATTACGGCTCATTCTAGATTAGGAGCAATAATTTCCCAGATTTATAAAGGAATTATACTGCAGACAGATTATTATCAATCCTATAAATGGGGCATAATCCCAGATGAAGTCTGCACCAAACTCTAATCTACTTTCTATCAACTAATCTCTCCTGATTGAACTGGGTCTTAACACCCAATATAATGAACATATTAGGCAAGAAAGAGCCCTGCTTGCAAAAAACATAGCTTCCTCATTCATTTCCACTGGACCGATTCATTGATGCAGCAGGGGTGTTGATGCGGAGACTACTGGCAAAACAACGCAGGGTCACCGGGCAAAAAAGTTGAACCAGACTTAACTTTTGCTGCAACGTAACGTCAAAGTGCTGTGTTGGCCAACCAATGCATCAATGGTACTTTGCAACATGAACGCTGTATTTCCACTGTTTACCTCTCTATCGCTGTGATAATCCAGAGCTCTAAAAGTTTTGTGCAGTGTTTTGGACTCTGACGAACCTTAAATGCATAAATATTTTGCTCCAACTGGACTTCCTGGATCGTCATCTCCGAGCATAGTTTCTCCACTGGATATCACAATTTATACTTTATTTTATTGCTACTTGGAATTCATGAAAGTAGTTGGCTGGCAGGTGTTGTACATTATTTTCAGGTGACCGAAGAGTATAACCGGACACCTCTGCACAGGTGTTTGTCTGCTGTTGTTCGGGACTGCTATTAAACTAAGGTAAAGACAACAACAGTGAGGTTTATCTACAGAGCTGGGAGAAAGTGCTATTGGTGTAATCTATACAAATTTGATAGATATAAACATGAAGTCAAATATGTTTCATATTTGCTTTGCATCAGCTGGTTCTTCATGCGTCATCCATTACAAACCAGAAACAGACATCTGGTTATTATCCCTTACTTAACCTTTTTATGTCCTCCATTTAAGTATTTCAGAAAACCAAATAACAGGGAAGGGGAGATAGTAAAGGAGGACAACAAGGGGAAAACACAGGGCACAGATTTCATTTCTACAGCCAACTTCCTGCATGCTTTCAGTGAAGAAAATCTGAGCTATGTCAAGTGTTATTGACTCTCATGGAGTTTTGGCAAGAAAAGCAGCTGCATTGCAGTCAGATACAGGGAAAGCACACTCTTTTGCCTCCTCCTACTCCACATCATTCCTTGGTTCACTTTCTAAAAAACTACTCCACTTAATCCACCGCAAACACCTTTACTATTCCTTTTCATTACAGTCACTACCAGCAGCCCTAACATGACAGCTTCTAGATCGTGTTAAAAAAAAATTTCACAAGCAAACCAACAGGGATCTGACTCTGTTCCTGACAGGAAGCTGCTGCAAAAACCAAATGTCTTTCCTGCTTAGATCAGCAGGGGTAGGAAGAAAAATAGACTCAAAAATCCTTTTAACCGTCCCCGCCCATGACTAAAAGAGCTGGACAAATTAAAAACATTCACACCAAGGTTCAGAGACGAAAAGACAGCAAGACTTTTATATGTCCCTGGTAGGCAGTTGCATTTCTAACGCAATGGTATTTTAGCTCTCCCCCCTGAACAGCCCTATAATATTGATCTGGCTTGGCTAAACAAAAGACTGAACAAAAACACAGCTGGGAAATAGGTGTCTTCACTCTGAAGAAGCACCAGTAAAACCTGATACTGAGGTTATAATGCCTCACAGATGAACAAGGTCTCTCAGTGGAAACTGTTCACATAAATGTGTCAATACTTGGTAGGATTATACTGCAGGACTTTTTCATGTATTGTTGTTTTTTTTTGTTTTTTTAAACTGTAGGAGCTCTGAGTCACCCGGACAGTCCCTTGGGCAAACAGCTATAGCTAATGTTTACCACAGGATGTGTACTTTGTGAATCTCAATTGGTGCACCGCCGGCTAATGTAACGTAAAAGCACAAAATGTGAAACACCTGTAATTAAACCGAGAACAGCATAATAACGTTGTTTAGCATTAGCTTAAGATAAGTTAACGCTAGTTCAAACTAACGTTAATCCAAAACGTCCGAAAGATGCTCATTAACTTTACCGCTAACGTTAGTTAGCTGTAAAAACACACCGAGTGCCAGATGAAACTAACAATAACAGTGACATTTTACACACTGACACAAAACACGTCTAACATTAGCTCCCTGCTGACACAACACAACGCCTTATTAACATTAGCCAACTAACTACAAACCGCTAGCTGAACAATGCTAAACGAGGCTAACTGCTAACGTTACATGACAGTCGCTAGCTTAAAGAAAAGTTTTGCAAACCTGGCTGGCTTTATAAAACTGCTTCTTCAAGCCCGCTACAGACATCTTGAAACCCCGGCCGTCTTCAGCTTCCGACGAAGGTGTTAAATAGGTCACGATATAACTAAAGTTAGCGATATAGTTAGTTTAAAAAAAGGGGCCAGTGCGAAAAATGTTTAGGAGGAATCATAGGACTGCACAGCCGTCACTCCAAGTCGGGACACGCCAACTGACCACGTCCACGTCGAGGGTGATTCTTCCCACTGTCACCGCAGATAACGGAACGAAATGTGCTAAATCCACCACAATGTACACTATTATCTCCCCGGACTGGAAGCGCACACAATCCAGGGTATAACTTGGAGGTTATTACAGAGCACCAAATCTGCACCAGCCACTTTGAAGAAATCAGTTTCCCGAGTTTACACAGTAGACTCTAATGGGTTCTCGTGTTAGTGCACACTGCCCCCTGCTGGATGCAGCGGGCACACACCGTCCACAAGCCAGGTGTTCCCATTCTCAGACAATATACTCATAGCCCTGTTATGCCTGAAGACATAAAGAAAAGGAAAAAAAACAGACTTATTGTGGTCGTCCTAATAGGTAAAGATAAATGAAAATGAAGTTGTTATATGTATGTTACGGCTTCAAACACCACTGCATTGCTAGGGTGCCCCAGGGCAACTGGGCCCCTATATTAACCCCCCTTCCTCCCACCCTCTGTACAATGTGTACAGTTTTTCTATACTGCACACATCTGAAAATGGTCAGGTTTTGGACACAGGCACTCTCCTCAAGATAGGACGCTCCAGATTAGGTAATAAAGCAGTCATTTTCTAGGACATTATAAGGTTTATCATGTCAGTTTAGTTTTTTTCTGTATTTTAGTGGTTAATATCCTCAAATAAAATTCAAATGAAATCAGCACAAACCGTTTGACACACAATAAGCGTGGAGCTCTCTGGGACCCATGGAGATCTGGTGCCCCAGGGGAGCTGGCCTTCTTATCTAATCAGTAATCCAGCCTTGGCTTGAAAACATCCAACTGTCCCATCTTTTCTTAGTTTTCCTGAGCAGGAATAAAAATGTACTTGTGTCTGGTGTCTGAACAGCTACCATATGGTGCCAATAATGCACTACATGTTCCCAATACAGGGTATCATTAACCTTTGCTTTTATGCATATGGAATGGAATGACTAAAGCAGACGAAAATGCATATATAAATAAACCTTATTTCTATACATGCAGCTCAAAATACAGTGCAATGCAATATGGGCTGTTTGAGTCCAATCAAATTGACGTCAGAGGGCTGTAGTATGGTAATTACAGTGCATATACTACATAATCTAATCATGTCCCTTTTGACATAAAGTAGCAGAGTAAACACAGGTGTTACTAACAATACTAATTAAGGGTCAGTTCCATTTAGTGTAATAAAGCCTTTTCAGTGAGCCAACATGCACAATGACACCCTTACTCTGTTTGACCTGAATGGAAGAGAACTTTATTATATTGGTTGGCAATTCACATTAACTGTACTATTTGAATTTTCCAGGAAATACAATATTATATTTGTCTTTGAATCTTTTCCTTAGCTGTAAAATTGACATTAAATGGCCAATTAAGATTTTCTTTTTACCCAGATATATTGTTCATATTGTATCATCTGATGAAAGTAGAAATCCCTCAGATGTAATAAATATTAACTAAACAAACAGTTTATTTAAAGAAATGTGAACTGTGATGGATGTATTCTTTTATGTGATAATAGAATATAACATCTTAATTTATAAACAATAAAATTGGTCCATTTGTGTAGATGATTTTGGGTGCAGTCAGTTTCAACAAACATACAAAGATAAAGCCATAACAGTTTTTCTTTTAATTGTAAAAAGACTTTTATTACATTCTTAAATCCACATATTGTATCACCATTGTGCAATAACACTTTACTGTGTTAAAACCTCTTGGGCTTTATATCCATGACATATAATAAATTATTTCTTATTAAAATCTATATTGATTTAATAATAATAATCTTAAAATAGAGTGAACATATAAACAGAAGGATCATGACAAAAGAGAAACTTTTAGGGAGACATCTTTAAAAACGCTCTTTAAAAAAATAGAATTACATCTCTCCAAGACAAAAAGGACACTAAACTGATGAGAAAAAACAGTACATATAAGGATAAAAATTGAGAAACAAAAGATCACAACAAAACCAACACAAGATTCAGAGATTATAGTCCATCTTTTATATTTATATTTTACTATCTTTACTTTTTTTAATATCCTATTTCATCTATGACTCAAACTCAAAAAAAGTCTTGCAATAATGATATTAGACAGGGGTAAAATCTTTGATACTTCTGAAATCAAACATTCACAAGAACATGTACTGTACACAGTGATCAAGGTTTTAAGGTCTTCTATGTTGTTGGTGCAAGGTGTCTTGCTAGCTAGACTAACTTCAGACACTGTAGGACAGAGAGCCCAGCTATCTCCCTGAGTAACTCTAAACAGAAATGTAAGTGCAGATCTCCAGTACTGCCCCCTGGACAGCTTTTAGGCCTGCAAAAACTATAAAGTACACTGACTCCTTTGAAATCAGCATGTCTAACATTCTAGGACTCGACACATAAAGTATTGCACTTTGTTACAATCTCCAAATGTCATCTGGCCATATCAGCTGATAGCTGACCTGTGTAGTGGTTGGCTGTGTATTTGGTACATTATATTCTAAATAACATTACTTGTTGTGCTGCGAGGTTAACTGTGCTGGAGTGCTTATGAAAATATTAACTGTAATAAACGGCAACAAAGGCCCAACATAATGAGAACAATGGGAAAGACATTATTGCACAATCCCATCATGCCACTGTTGTACGTACCCAGAAAAGGGCATTACCCCTTCATACTATGTCAGACAATATAGTTTATGGCAAATAGCACTGTCCCAGCAGTGCAAAGCAAACCTGGCTGACATTAAATAGAGCTCCAACATATGTCATGTGATTGTCTTAAAATGCTTGAGATAACAACAGCAATGTTTTCTCCGATTACAGCTATTCTTTTTGAGTAGCTGCTTTAGGATACTGGTAGAAAGATACTTAGTTTTTTCTACAGCAATCCAATATGTCCCCCTACATAGAAGAAAAAGGTTTAATCTGGACACACCCCTGTGTGTCTTCAGAGACCTTTCTACTCATAGATCTGTATCTGAGTAGGACTTCCTGGACCTAAAGGCATGAACTGCTCTCAAATGTCAGAAAAGCAGTCAGAAAGGATAGGTAGTATAAACAGATCCAGCAATTCAGTTGTGTCTTTTGTCCAGTTTTAGTAGCCTGATAATATAATTTAGTATCATTAATAAAAAAAATGTAATCAAATTTCTCCACTAATTGTTATATTTTTAAAGAAGCTCTCTAGTATAAATGCAGAAATACTAACTCAGGGGGGTAGCTGATGGCTCTGTCAACCCTTTGCTGTGCCATGTAGTGTTTAAGTAGGGTGAGGTAGTAAGGGAGTGGAGAGGAACAGAGGATTTAATTGTCCAATCAGAACACCTTGGCTGGCTGCGACAGTGCAGTCCGCCTGACCCCGGATCAGTGAGAGTTGGCGCAGACAGTAAATCCCCTCTAACTGATGTCTAAGGAGCTTAAATAACACCATCATCCACCTGCCCACCTGCCCACTTTCTATTCTCTGCCCCTCATACAACCATGGAAACATTTCAACGTCAAACTCTCAGTACATTTTTTTGTCTTTACTCCAAAAGTCTTTTTGAACCTGCTGCTGGATGGTTTGGGGCGATGGCACTCTCAGGCGGGGCTGAGGTATGACAGTTCCAGATGCTCCTCCACGAGAGCACATAACCGCCGCAGTGGTCGGCTGCTCAGCACCTTGTTCATACAGATTCTCTACAGCGGGAGGGGGTATCTAGCATTTCTGACTGGTTTAACATAAGTTTCACAGATGGCAGTCTGAGTGCGAACCCGTAAAATCTTGTGCCAAGAGTTCGTTTTGGATTCTAATGAGGACTCGTAAGTGCTTATCATCCACTAGATTTTCAATTCAGCAACAAAAATCTTTCCATCCCAGAACCACAATGTTTGGACAGGCAGTGTCTGTTTGAGAGACCTGAGCACAAGCGTATTACCCTGCTCCTCACCCGGGATGAATACACGACTGCTCCTCTCTTACATGATTATATAAGGTGTTGTTATATATGTATATATCAAAAAGGAACATCTGAAAATACTTTCACAACACCTCTCACTCTCTCTCTCTCTAAGTGGCATTTGCAAAGGGAAAAGGTATTAGGACTGAGGTCATTGATTGCATTTTAAAAAAATAATACAATAAAGAGCTCACATCAGTGTCTGAGAGTGCTCTTGTAAAAATACCTACAAAGATCAGGATAAGTGCTGTGTTTTGTGCTCTGTGTGCAAGAGTTTGTAGGTGCATGGTGGCAGACGCTCTTGAGCGTTTACCAATGATTCCCACAGTAAAAAAAAAACCCTGTCTGTTTATGAGTTTGATCATGGTCCCTTTAAACAGTTTGTTCATACGTTACAAAACTGCAAAATACGGGCGCTACCAAAAATATTGAATAAGACAATAAACTATTACGAGACTGACAACGGAAACAGGCATCATTACTGCAAATCTCCACAAAGTGGCTGAGGATTTTAAGTATGTACATTCTATATCAAGCCTAGGGCTGTGCTGAATGGTTAAGGGGAAAAGGGGTACATTCAAAAATAGCTTACAGGAACTGTGAGAAAGGTGAAATTTATATTAGAAAGGAATTCAACATGAAGAGAGTCTTATGGTCTCGTCATAGAAAAATATTTTTGAGAATACAAATTATGTAGGCTACTCTTTAATAATTTCTTTAACTCCGTAAAAAAGAGGTAACATGCACTGAGTACCCAGCAGCAGTTCCTGTAGTGTTACGTCGAAGCTGAATGGACTAGCTTGCAGGGCGGGAGGTGAGAGGAGTGTGTCCTAAAGTGTAGCGTGCAGGATTGTCATTGAGCTGCTGGTTGGTTTTGCCCTCAGCTGGTTGCCACATTTTTATCTCCCCCTCCCTACGCCTCAATGTCTCTATTTGAATCAAGCTGTTTTAGCTAAATGGTGCTAGCCCTCTGTGGAGTCTGGGAAGGTGATTTCACTGCCAAAAACCTCCCGATACAGAGGAGGAAAGGTGTACGCTGTCTCCGGGTGAACCAGACGGAAAAACTCCAGTTTGTCGATGTGAAGGTTGCAAATGGACTTCATTATGGGAAGCTTAGACACCATCTAGAGGGGAAATACAGAACGGCATAAAAAGTTAAAAGAAGAAATAAATACCAATTTAACATCTTATTAATATGGTAGTTGAATAAAGTATCAAGTCAGTTTTTTTCACCAAACTG